CCGCCGCTCGCCGCCGCCATGAGCGCCGGGCAGGCCGCGGGGGAGGAAGCGGACGCCGCCGCCGCGTCCTCGGCACTTCCCAGGGTGCTCTCGGCGCTCTTCTACGGGACGTGCTCCTTCCTCACCGTGCTGGTCAACAAGGCGCTCCTCAGCGCCTACAGGTGAGCGCCGGGGCAGAGCGGGAGGCCCCCCACCCGCGGGTGCTGGTACAGCCGCTGCCCGGCCATGCCAGACTCATGCCCGGCGGAGGAGCCTTCCCGCTCCCGTTCCCCTTCCCGCTGGCATGACCCACGGGCACCTCGGATCCCGGGCAGCCGGCTAGTGGGTAATGTGCTGGGAGCCGGGCTACCTTCTCCAGTTTCAGACCGCTTGTGCCCAATATGTACCAGTTCTGCAGCACCGCCCGACGGCAGGCACAGTTGTGACAGCGCCCGACTTTTCTTCGGGGTCTTTTCGCTGTTCCCAGGGGATCGCACCACCTCATACACCCGTGAGGGAAACACCGTATCCGCTACGCAGGAACAGTTGTTCCTGCCGAACACTATTTTCCTTCCAGCATCTTTCTTTTCTGGGGTAGCCAGAAACGAAAAGTTAGCCTAGTAAAATGGCTTGTTCGTAAAAACACTGAAAGATTCCGTCCTTGACTTGATGGCTCTAATTCCCATATGGAATCATGATGATAATGAGCATCTTCTACCATTGTGCAAAGCAACAGCATTAACTGCAGACGTCTCACACTTTGCATTTTACTCTTAGTCTTGCAGCTGTGGGAAATAGAGGAACTTGAGCATTCACCTCCAGGCCATAGTTTTCCCATCTGGATTTGTACTTGTTGGACCTTGATCATCCTTATGTGTTCCTTCTGACTCAGGATATTCTATGATTCTGTGATTGTCTTGTGACTGCCTTTTCTCTCACCATTAACATGTTTTACTTAAAATCTTTGTTTTTGTTGTGGTTTAGCTCATCTTGAATCAAAATAACAAAAAGAAAAACCAAAATGAAAAGAAAGTTAGAAAGCCAAACTTGCTGTCATTTTCTAACATTCAGTGCTATTTGAACATATAGCAGCTGTACTTAATATATCTCATAAATTGTGCATGGTGCAAGCTGAGATTTTGTTTTATAGTGGTTTTTGTCCTACAGAGTGCAGATCCCTGCAAATCCCTGGCATACATATAGTACACCTGTATGAGATAAGTGAGTACAGTATGTCCAATCAGTAAGCTTAAGTTTTGTATTAAGACCTTACAGCATTCTGGAAATATTTAGGCCTCTGCAAATCACAAATGTCTAGAGAAATCTGTGTAGTACAGATGGGCAAACTGTCCATCTTTATAAGGAGTTGCTGTAAATATTAAACATAAGGCTGTTTGGCTGTTTTGGTGTACATGATTATAAAAGGAAGTCCTTTTGTTTCTTATGTTTTTCCTGTCCCTGATACTTCTGTTTCCCTGAATCTCTTTTGCTATCAGTTGCTCCTAACTCTGTGTTAGGACTGTAATGCTCTTATGGCCTTCCTGCTGTGATTCAGTGTGTTTGTTTCTTTTGTCAATGCTTTGTTTCCCATCCCAGTTGTGTTAATTTGAGATGTACATTTCCCACCACACCAAATTTGCAGTTTCTGCAAACGTCATGAAGTTCAACAAGGCCAAGTACAAGGTCCTGCACCTGGAGGATTGAGGCAATCCCAGGCACAAATATAGTCTGCACGGAGAATGGGTCGAGACTAGCCCTGAGGAGAAAGACTTGGGTGTGTTTGTGGAAAAAAAGCTGAATACGAACCAGAACTGTGTGCTTGCAGCTCAGAAACTGATCAACTGGCCTGCATTAGAAGAGGTGTGGCCAGCAGGTCAAGGGAGGGGATTCTGTGCCCCTGCTCTGGTGAGACCCCACCTGTAGTAATGCATTAGTTCTTGGGCCCCCCCAACACAAAGAAGACATGGATCTACTGGAACTAGTCCAGAGGAGGCCACTAGTCACAATGGCAATGATCACAGGACAGCAGCACCTCTCCTGTGAAGACAGGCTGAGAGAGACAGGGTTGTTCAGCCTGAAGAAGATTCCAAGAAAACCTTATTGTGGCTTTCCAGTACCTAAAGGGAGCAGCTGAAGACGGACTTTTCAGAAGGCCATGTAGTGATAGGGAAATGGCCTTAAGCTGAAAGAGGGCAGGTCTAGATTCACATCAGGAAGTAATTCTTTAGTATGAGAGTAGTGAGGAACTGGAGAAAGTTGTCCAGAAGGGTTGTGGACTCCCCATCCCCAGAGGTGCTGTAGACCAGTCTGGATGGGGCTTTGAGCAACCTGGAGTAGTGGATGGTATCCCTGCCCATGGTAGAGGGTTTGGAACTAGATGATCTTTAAGGTCTCTTCCAACCTCTACCATTCTATGGTTCTATCCATGCTTTCAGCTAAAGCCAGCCAAAGGGCTATAGTAAGAATGTAGCTGGTTTATTAGACGTTTCTACAATATTTACTTAAAAATATTTACTTAAAACTTGATTTTGACAAAAACATATTGCTAGTATGTTTGCTAGTATGCTAGTATGTTTGGACTGCAAAGATAACCTTCCCCATTAAGAGCAATTGCAAGAGGTTTAGGTTGATATCCCTTCTCAGGATTCAAAGTATATATTTGGAACTACTCAAGAAACAATGCATTAAGAGTTCTCTTAAGTGTGTTAGCTTCACTTTCAAGTATTCCCCCAAACAACTAGCAGTTGAGAATTGATCAACTATGCATAGGCTGTATTATGTGGGCTGCAGAAATAAAATATTACTACTACAGTAAGTGTAGTCCTGTAGTCTCTTCTTAAACAGACTAGTCATCTTCATGTCTAATTGTTGACTTCAGTATTAAACTTTAACATTTTTATTTTTCCTAGTTATTTCTTTCCATTCCTCAGTACTAAATATCTGTTCATGCTTTTCAGCTTCCCATCACCAATATTTCTTGGAATTGGACAGGTATGTTCACAAGTAAAGCATTCTAAAAGTATTCATTATTTTGTAAGTTAAACTAATGATATTAAAGGTAGATTTTAAGGGGAAAAAAATCACAGTTACAGTGAACTGCTTGTCTTCTGGATTAGATACACTATAAAAAACTGTTACCCGATTCATTGAAAACAGGCAGCTGTGAGCTTGAGTCAAAATTATTGCCTAGAGAGAGTCACATAAAAGAATGCTATTTATTTCTCCTTGTGAAGTTCCATAATTAAGGAATCTGGCCTTCTAAACTGTCCAGCTTTATTCTAGCAAGTGCATGCATTCCGTGAGGGTCCTTGAGCCTTTGTGAACTACATGCAGAGATATTGCCCTGTTTGTAGCCAAACCATGTGTTTCCTCTTAAATTTCTCCCCATTTCCCAGCAGTTTTCCAGTAGTACCAGTATAAAATTTTGATTCTTTCTTACATTATTTGCCTTTGGGTAACTTGCAGCATTGCAGCAGAAATGTTTTTTTTTTTTTTTTTATTTTTTTTTGTTGTTGTTGTTAGGAGGCATCATAGTAAAACCAAAGTTCAGATGTTTGTGGACTGGGTCCATAAAGAAGAATGTATCACTGCAGAGGGATTACCGATAAAGATTGAGCCTTGAAGCAAGTGTTGTTTAGGCAAATGACTTTTATAGAGAATTTGCCTTCTGCCAAGGCTCCACAGCAGGGGGTGGTGAGGAAGAATTGAAAACAGCAAGTCTGATATCTCTGCTGTTAGGTGCTAGAGAGAATAAAATATCTTGTAAAGACTTTGTGATGTGATAGAGAAAGTTTTACTCATCCAGACTGCTCAAGGAACCACAGATCATGTTTCAGTGAAAGGCTAGAAAATGTGGCAATAATTCATGTCTTGATGCAACTTTTTTCTTCAGAGAATCTAAGACTTAATGGCATTTCTGTTTTTTTCTTGAGTGGCCCTTCCAAGACTCTTCTGAACTCTATATAAAGTATATATGATATGGTGTGATAAATTAACATTTTAAAAAAACAATAAGAAACACCTAAAGAAGTTAAAACTGCTGGAGGCTGATGAGAGTTTTTCTCCTAGCCAACAACTGGCCATTTCTAAGAATTGACAGCAGTTTTAACCACTGAAAAGTAAGATCAACCTGTGAACACCACCTTAAGACCTAAGCCTGGGAATTTCTTTGTCTCTTAATTTCCTGGCTGTGAAAAGTAACTGAGCTTTAGCTGTCTTCCCATCCCCGGCCATGCGGCCCGGGCAGGGGCTGGGCTGGGCCCAGCGGCTCCCAGCCGGATGATGGGGCCTGCGGGGCTCGCCCCGGGCTCTGGCCGGGCCAGGCCGGTCCCTGGCTCGGCTGCAGTTGTTTTTGCCATGACTGAATTCACCAAAGACTGTCAAGTAAAGAAAGAAAAAAAGCTCTTGACCTGCGGCGTGCTGAGACAGGGACCACACTCTCCAGAGCAGCCATGAAGAATCTTCTATCGCAGACAACTCCAGCTCCTGCTCCAGCAGAGATCACAGAACCATCTACAAAGCCTGGGCAAGATTTTAACCCTTTCATTACCCAGATGAGACTTGCAGATTAACCCTTTTATCCAGAGAAAGAAAAAGAGAGTGATCAACATGTAAAGAGACTTCATAAACTATCAGAAACAGTAAAGAAAAGAATTGAGCTTCAGAAAAAGTAAAGAATAAGATGTTTTAATTAAGCTGAAATATTTTAATTAAGCTGAAATTAAAGCTATAGAGTTAGACAATAATGTTCTGAAAAAACTCCTTTAATACATGACAGAGTATATTGAGAAGAATGGAGTGTTCAAAGTTTAGATTTTGAGCAAACAGTAGAGTAGCTGTGATACAGTGAAGTGCTGGAACAGAAGGGGAAAAGTCATAGTTGAAGATTCGGGGCTGCTTGAGGCAAAGAGAAAACTTCTGTTTCCAGAGAAGCTCACAGAAACAAATAAAGAGAACTTTTGCCTTTGAATAACTCATCCTTAAAAATGACATCCCTAGACTCATTGACCCATAACACACCTCAGAGTAATGTGAAATAGGAGGAGAAAATCTGATGGCAGATTTTGCCGGGCAACTAACATCAGAGAAATAGAAAGCTATAACAGAAATAGTTTTCTTGTAAAAAACTCCATAAATTAGCAGAAGAAGACTTCTGTTTCTCTACAAAAACTAATAAAAATACTCTAGTAAGAATTGGGACTGTTTTAAACACCAAAGTTCCAAAGTTTTTTGTCTCTATGTTGTCATGTAAACAAGAGAATAGTTGAGTGAAACAAAAAAGAGGTTTTCTAGAGGTTTTATTCTGGTTTTGTTATTCTTGTAGTTTGTTAATAAACTTTATTCCTTTTAAGTTTTAAACCTGTTTTACTCTTGTTCTAATCCACATCTCACAGCAAGAAATAAGTAAGTTTTCTAGTAATTTTTTTAGTTGCTGCTTTAAAACCACAACATTTATTTAGTGCATTGGCCGAGAAATGAAATTAGCAAATCTAAACCACTACATATCTGCAGAATATGACTCTACCTCATCCTCTAGATAGTCAATCACTGTATTTTTCTATTAGGAAAATTTGACCCCTTGTTTTGACTCCCTGGGGACAGCATAGCAATCATACAGCTGTGATGTATGACTGCTCAGATATTTGTCTTCATTCTGTCTGCATCTTTATTATTTCTTCCTCATTTTGTCAACAGACTGATTAATGCCCTACCTTAATCTTGCATTACCAAAAAAAAAAAAAAGTTTTGTGAGTGATTCTGCAGACTAAACTATTCTCTTAGTAAAAATTTCATGGTTTATCTGGGATTGTGTCCTATTTTATTTTCTCAGGTCCTTCTCAGCTTGCATTGTTTCACAGAATGCCACTAATTTTCTTCAGGATAGTAGAGTATATGTATATATTTTACTTTTGAGTAAATAGCTGGCAAAATTGATAAGAGTGAAATTATTTAAATTTGTTAATTGCATTCTGTGCTGTTCTTTTAGAGAAATACATAAACCCTAACATTTGTCAAATTTGTATAAAGATTTTGTCCTTGAAGCAGTTTTTTCACTAATACGTTACAATTTTGCTCATACATGACTTCTCATTTTTCCTTTTTGTTCAGATGGCAGCCACTATACTTATCTTGTATGTGTCAAAACTGAATAAGATTGTACACTTTCCTGATTTTGACAAAAGCATACCTGTGAAGGTAAGGATCACATATATCCTGGTATTAAAAGGAAAATGTTATTTCTTATAGTAGCATTCCATTCTTTCTTATGAAGACAGGAAAAACATTTGCATTTCTTTTCCAAATGGGATTAGTTGTATCATTCTTTCATTTAAAAATTGATTTGATAATTTTAATTTCTCTGCAATATTCTAGTCTGGGCTATAGAGATAAGCCCTATTTGAGGAGAAATCTGGTGCCGTTTTGTTATGCAGTACATGGGAAGGGTGCTTTAACTTTATACAGCTAGGTGAACTTCTTCATATTCCTGAAAAGTTTTTCTGGATATAGCTCTCAGTGGGATCAATGGGAGATATGTGTTTGTAAAGGATTTTTTAACACAGCATGAAGACAGAAAGGCTGCTTGGAAATATGAATGGAGCGTGTGATAAAGTAATAGAAAAATAATGTGATAGATGAGAAACTGTAACAACAGCTGACTCCCAGTATAAGATTTATGTTCCATAGGAGGGGCTAAAATAATGCTCACTAAAAATACTCTAGATGGTGACCAGCTGCATGACACACACCTTAGATGTGTATGGTCTAAAGAGGCAGGACAGAACAAATGTGAGTGGACCTCCTCTTACCTCAGTTTGGGAACTAGGATGTGAAATGACTACACCAATGATCCTCAAAGATTTTTGCATCTATTCAATGTTACTGGAATGTTTCTTTGATGCATTAGCCTGTGTGTTTATGTCTGGTTGCAGGGTATTGGTTGTGTTTGCTCCAGGACACAGGGAATGTTCCTAGCCCTGCTGCAGGGCTCAGATAATACAACTTTTCAGGCTCCCATCTTTACCTGCAGAATCTTGTCTTACTATCAGTATGAGGTTTACAGTGAATGTCTCACAGATATGTTTATTCTTAATGCATGTTGAAATCATTGACATTTCTACATGTACAAGTCTTGGAGGAAAATCTGTGGTATCATTCATAAAATGGACAATCCTTCTTTATTCCAGAATAAGAAAGAAGGTTTCCTAGCAGGTAGCTCTGAGTTTCATGTATAAACAGCTTATTGAGACCTTGAGAAGATTCTTCCTTCCATTCCCACCAAGTCCTGCTGTGCTCCCTCTCTGCCGTTTCTTCACTTCAATTCACGTACAAAGACATTAAGAAAATACAGCATGCATTTTCTTTATGCTATTGAAATCTGTTGTTTGGAAGACTTTGCTGGATAGGCTGGGAGCAGTCAGCATTTTAGCTTACAGGACCTGCATATTGTTTGCAGTGCTGGATTTGACTAGTCAGAGTGAATCAGCTGGATTGCTCATTGTTGTTTTCTGAACTTTTTAAGGAACCCTTAGGCCAACTCCTTATCCTTTTGTCAACTTTTGCTTTGACACTAAGATAATTACTTTTCACTTCTCAACTAGTTTATGTCTTCAGAGCATTCAGCTTGAGTATTAAAGTAGTGAGATGCTTATTTTAGTGATGAAGCTTTGAAGTTCCTGACCGTTTCAAAGTAAATGATTCATTGATCTCTGCTGTAGTACTGGATGTTGTAATTTTGTCTTTACAATGAAATGAATTTCAGAGGAAAGATAATATAATGTCTGCTCTGTTTTCAGTCTATAAATTAAATGAAGCAAAATGTTCTAAATAGAAATCTGCAGATGAGATAGTGCATTGCAAAAATTTTGCAAACATATGTCAACATGCTGAATATTTATTGTTACTCATACTCCTGCTTTCTTTATAGTCCTATTTACTTTTACTGTGACTTCCACTTAAAAATTAACTTCAGTTGACTATCAATTAACTTTTACTTCACATTTTTTCCTCTCTTGCTGTGAAAGAAACACAGAAGTCTTAACATAGATAAAATACCCCACTCTGTGTGCTTTTGCAGCAGACAAAATTTTAAGACTGTGTAACCTTTGACTTTAGTGTCCTATAAAGTGTCCATGTGTAGAAACAAGAGTGACTATTACACATTAGGATAGAAGATCTGTTATGTCTTTCTGCCGTTTCAGCCCCTCTCGACTGATAGTGAATGGGACCAAATGTACACACTGCCTTTGCCCTCATTGATTACTTTGGTTGGTTTAAGTGTTCTGCAAATTCCAACCTTACCCATTCTGTGATACTGTATTCTTTTTCTGTAACAGGAGAATTAATGGCTTTGAATTGCAGCTGATTATTGTAGGGATCCATGTCTTCTTCATTTTCTACCTTCTTACACATTTTCTTAAGGCTCTGAAGTTCCTTTATTGTTTCTCTGTATTGGGCTATGTACCATATGTTTCTGTGCAAGTCAGTCTCTTTGCTAGCAAATTTACTCATAATTATTTACCTTTCCTTTACCTTTACCTTTCCTTTCCCATACTAATATGCGTGGAGTACATAGAGAAGGATGGCATATTTATAGTTTATTAACTTTTTTATTTCACCTCATCACTTGCTTATTTAGCTACTGTTGTTAATATTACTTTTATATCTAAATTAAATATTAAAATGGGTATTAATCTGAGGATTATAGTAACTAGAATAAAAGTGATTAACATTTACTCTAAATGGATTCTAAGTATCTTTAGTGGTAGATTGCAACTCTTTTAATGACATCAGTGAAGCTGTGATCCTGACCAGTCACTAATAAATACTGCACTCCATAAATGGAGCTGCAGATGAGTTTGCAGCATAGTTACATTTTCTTCCTGTTAAAAGAAAACCTCTTTCTTGATAAAAGTACATCTGATATGGTAGGTGTCAAGTTCTATCAAGTAAAGTTTCTCAACAGTACTTCTAAACAAAATAATCTGAGTTGTGCTTTTAATTTTATCACAGTTGTTTCCTCTGCCTCTGATTTATGTTGGAAACCATTTAAGTGGATTATCAAGTACCAGCAAACTCAGGTACAGTAAGTAGAAGTTAAAACTAGACAGTAAGTAGAAGTTATAAGTAGACTGTTTGGATTTTACCCTTTTCTCTTGTGGGGTAAAAAAGAAACACTACAGAAGAACATTGTCTAGAGTCTTTAATCCATGTGGTATCTGTCTGCCTGTCTGTCTAAACCCCTGGTACTGTTACGAAATTTTTACCCAAACATTTGATCAGTTTATAAGTTGTCTGCTTCCTTTAAGCGGAGCTTAGCCAGACCTGTACTGACATAAAATCACAATACTCCTATGTGACCAGTGAAGTGCTTACACCTTCGCCTCACACCCAAGCATCCAGCTTTTCCTGGGTGTCTTAACCAGAGAGTTAGGTAAGATGTCTCTGAAGGAAGAAGCATAAGGAAATGTTTGTACCATGATGTCATGGCAGATACTTAGGAATCAGCAAGAGATGAAAAAACTGCTGTATAGTGGGGTAACGGTGCTGGCCTAGCCTTGCTAAGTGCCAGAAGCAGGTTGTCAGGGAGTACTGCTGAAGGGTGTCTTGACTCCTATGTGCCTGTAAGTGTAGACCCATGAGAGTTGCTTCCATGCTAGAGTAAAAAATATTTAAGTAATGTAGACGTGCTGTCATAGAATGAGTAGCTGTATTTTCTGTAGAAGATGAGCACAGAAGCATGATGGCTGCACCAGGACTGAAGGATACAGCACTAGCATTGTGGTGTTTTTTTATATCACTGCAGGCTCCTGAGGGTCTGGTACTAAGCTAAACGAAAACAGAATTTTTCAGGTTTATGCACATTTCATAACTATGAGAAAGATGCTAAGAAAGAAAATAGAATCATAGAGTCATAGAATCCTCAGGGTTGGGAAAGAGCTTTAAGATCATCCAGTCCCAGCACTACCACTGTAACCCTAGAGCAGTAACCTTATCACCCAGTGCCAGATCCAAACACCCCCAGGGATGGTGACTCCATCACCTCCCTGGACAACCCACTTTAATGCCTGATCACCCAAACAGTAACAATTATTTTCTAGTATCTAGTCTGAATCTCCCCTGTCTCAGCTGAAGGCCATTTTTTCTGGTGCTCTCACTGCAGGTACAATAGAAGAGATCTCACCTCACTACACCCTCCTTTCAGGGAGTTGTAGAGAGTGATGAAGTCCCCTAATGTATTACTTTTAATTTGTTTACATTTCTTTTTATTTATAGAATTAATGTTCTCTAGCCATGAACTAGATGCCTGATTCTGAAACCCTTTGTTAAATGTGTTCACAAGCTGTTCCACTGAAACAGACATAAAAACTTAGGCAGTACTGTGCCTAGTAGCACTTCAGCCATTGTGAATATGAAAGTAGTTTAAAAACTGTAAAAGTTGGCTTTTCCTTTCTCTTTTCTCTGACTGTAAATTTAAGTGTTTTGTAGTGTATATAAATGCACCTTCTCCCTCTCCTGTGGCTGGTATATCTCTTTTATATTTATTAGTTGTCTCTAATTTTTATAACAGAAACTTTAAAATGCCTGCAGTGTTTCTACCATTAACATTTTGTTCCACTGCATTTTGTTACAATATATGACACTTGTTTCCATCACTGAATTCTCCACCTTGTTTGGGTTGTCTGGAAGGTGCAGATGATCCTATGCATAAATTCAAAATATCTGTTGTAAAGTTATCAAACATTTTGTTAGGAATTGTATAATTTATTAATGCAATTGTTAACAATTACCTTAAGCAGGGGATTAATTGATCCATATGGCCATGCTGTCACATTTGCAAAGTGTCAGATGCAAATATTTTCACACACAGAACAGTTTCCGACTGCATTACCTCATGAAAATCAACAATATGCCGCTAAAAGTAGCATTTTGTTTGGTAATTGCAGCTGGTACCACCTTTCATGTTTCTTATATTTCCTCTAACTTTTTGGTCATGGATTTATTCTACTTTTTTCAAAGCTACACCTTGTTTACTAAGCATATTTTCTTTGTATTTTGATGCTGTTACATGTTTTCAGAGACAGGTTTATTGTCTCTTAAGTTTACAATAGAAATAATTTTTCTTTAACTCTGCCCATGAATTTTGCAGAAAAAATATTTCATAAGGATTATGTCAGGTAGAGAATACCTACTATATTCCATTTCAGTAATGGAGAGTGACCTTCAGAGCATAGCCAGTTGCACTGATTTACAAATTGGCAAAGTTTGCTGTCTTTCAATGACTTGGTTGCCTAATGTGCATCTAATGCCAGACTGACATTTTTATGTATGCACTAAATTATTTGGTATTTGTTTTGGTTTCATATTTCTGGACTAATTGTTCCATCCCCTGGGTTAGTAAAGTAAGAATTAGAATATAAGAATGCTGTTAATCTGATACTATGCTTGGATTTTTATTTTGTTTTTTTGACAGTTTGCCGATGTTTACAGTGCTCAGGAAGTTTACCATTCCACTTACTTTACTGCTGGAAATCATCATACTTGGGTGATCCTTTTTGTTCGTTTTTGGGGTTGTATTTTTGTTTTGTTTTTTTATTTTTCATTTAAGATACCTTCATTTTAGATCATATCAAACTGATTACTTGTGTCATCTCAGCAGAATATTGAATGAGAGATTTTTACTTACAAATAGAGACAAGCAAATAAAGTGGTTTATGTAGCTTTTTTGAAGGCATCCTACATTTTAGTGAAGAGAGTGAAAAAATCATCTTGTTTTTATTTTTGTATCTCATTCTCCAGACTGTTACACCGGTTTCAGGTCTGCAGACACAACTAAGACACTTGCAGTAGTTATGTTTGCGTTTTGTCTTGGAGGCTCCTAAATTGTGAGCTGCTTCAAACAGACAGATCCTGACGTCTCCAAAGAATGCTGATAACATGGCAGTCTGCTTTGGTAGCGTAACTGTCTGTGTCAAGTGTGAAAATATAACAGGTTAATGAAGCAAAATGGTATCTACCAGCTGTTAGATGAGACAATTCCTTACTTACAGACACCTATGTTATTTTTCATGAGAAATTGAGGATATGCTAGCTGCTCAGGATCTCTAATTTCAGTAGTACTGAGTTGGAGGAATAGGAGTATAAATACATCATACTTTGTCTAGAACTTCACAGTTCTATCCTCATCCAGAACCTTGTGGTTCTGGACTCACAAGATGAATTCACAAGGAGGAAACCAGCTTGCTGAAGCTGAACCCAGGCAACACGATGGCTAGGGAAAGCTAAAAAAGCAGAAAGCAAAAAGCCCCCAAGCAAACTGACATCTCCTTTTGGCTAAAGCAGCAGTTAATTGATCAATGTGATTCATATTTGGAGATGCTCTGGAATTCTTTTGTAGTTTTAATATCTCCCAGAGAAAGCAAAACTTGCTATCTTCTGTTGGCCTAAAGACTCTCACAAGCAAGTGAAAAAAAAACAAACAAGTGAGTCAGTGAGATTATCATAAGTCCTTAGCTGGAGAACAGCAGTGTGACCTATGAGTGCAAGCAACATCCTAACCAAAGGAAAACTTAGGAGGAGAATGCTGTATTGGTGCAGACTGATGCAGTGTGTTTCCTTAGGGCTGAAAGTGAAAGGACTCTGGAGAGTCTGTACAGGCTTATGTCAGGATCTTTGAAACAACAAAGTTTGGGTTGTTACTCATGAGCATTATTATGATCAAAGCCTAATTTATCTAAAGTCTGGTCAGCATTTTCTTGTTGGGACAGCGGTCTGCAGATGTGCTCCTTTACACATAGGATTTCTCCAAGAGCATTCCTTCAAGAGCATTGTACATTTTGTTTTGATGGATCTCTCTCCATGTATCTTGTCAGAATAAGAACTAGGGGAATATCTGTAAGGCGTACTGAAGTAAGGTGTAAAAAAGAGTACTTATATCCAAATAAAATAGTGTAGATATAAAAACCTTTCTACAGGTTTACAGTATGCTTTTTACTACTCTGGGGCAGCACTGATGTGGTAAAGAATGTCATAAACTCCATGTTTTCCCTTTCAAGTACAAAGTTTCTGTTTGAGTTCAAAATAAGGATCTATTTGAAAATAATCCAGACAATGTGCTATATAGCATCTTCTTCAACAAAGGTGATATGAAAAACTGCATGAGAAATCTACAGTGATCTTCTTTTATTGGACTACTGGGAGACACTAAAATATGTCTATTATGAATATCAATACACATTAAATTTGTTTGGTTCAGTGCTGTTACTTTGAACCTTTTTATCTTTACTTTTTTAATAGTCTAGTAAGAGAGTGCTTTTTTCAATCTCCGTTCTCAGGGCCAAGGTCTGACAGCATGGCACATGGGCAATCACATTGTTCCTGTAAGGTTGTCAAGACTTTGCCCTCCTGTTAAATGTTCTGTGATTATTAATTGCTTTTAAACTTTTCAGGCAGACAGCCATTTAATCTCCACTTCAAATAATGAAAATGTGAACTGTTTCAATTTTTGCCTACAGGAAACGATACCCACTGAATATTATAGTCAGCGTATTTGCCATCATTCTTGGGGCTTTCATAGCCGCTGGGTAAGGTTTTCATTTCTCATATAGAGCTATATTATAAGGGGAGGGACACCATGAGGACTTTTTCCTAGTTTAGTGCCAAGTAAACCTAAGCTGAGATCAGTTATTCTGGGTAAAGTTGATTTGGAAAATCACTCTAGTCTAGAAAATCACTGTGAGGTGCAGTTACACAAAGGAAAAAATCTAATTCCTGCTGACAGTCTTTGGGTGTGTCTTTTTCACCTTTAAATTTTCCATGTTTGCAGGATCATGAGTGAAGCAAGTTAAAACTATGTGAGAAATGCTGGTTTTTTTCATGGTATCAGTGTATTTTAATAATCTTGGAAAAATATATTCATGTTCTGGATAGAAAGACCAATATTTTGGTTGTTATATCTGGAGTCAGGCATTGTATATTTTTTTAAATCATAAAAATCTCCCTTTAAAAAAAAAAATTTCCATTGTGAGATAATATTCAGCAAGTGTCTGTATGCTGTTGTTCTCTGTTTTCTGTTTGAACATTCCTTTACCTAACTGGAAAGGTAATGTTTTGTTTGTTTGTTTCCTGGCTTCACTATGAACAAGAGTAATTTCCATGTGATGCAACCCAGTTTGAGCCATGTCCTATACAGGTCATGAATTGACCTGTATTGATGAGGTAACTAGTCAAAACAGAAAGGATGATGTCAAATTAGTCAAAACAGTTGGATTTTATTTCCTAGCCAGTTTTTGTAGTAAAAGAAATAGGTAAGTATATTCAGTTATAATTGGACTGGTTGACAGGGTTGAGATGGGTGGAATTTTTCTCTGAATCAAAACTGAACATTTCCTGCCACTTTCACACTGAGTATTAGGAACTCTCTGATCCTCATTTGTGATGGTCCTGTGACTGGAGAAGTGTAAAATCCTTTGACTTACAAAGAAGGCTTGAAACCAGACCTGTGACTGGCTGGAGTTCACAGGATTTGCATATCCTCATTCACAATATTCATCTTGGTAAGCAAGGTAATGTAATGCATTGCATATTTTTTGCTTATTTACAATAAAATATTTATTTCTTTCCCAGGTCTGATCTGTCCTTCAATCTGGAGGGCTACATATTTGTGTTGCTAAACGATATCTTCACAGCAGCAAATGGAGTTTATACCAAGCAGAAAATTGATCCAAAGGTAACTGTGGGGTGATTAGATAGAAGTTAGCATTATGACAGTGGGCTATTGTCCTGGTTTAGGACAAATTTAGGGAGGAAACCTTCAAAAGGGTCCCTCTAGAAAGCAAATTCAAGTGGCCTTTCCACCTACCTGTTTGGGAGATAAACTAACTTTGAGAAAAGTGGAAAAAACTGTTTATTTAACAAGCAAAGTACCCACAAATATGAAAAGAAATTAATAATATTTAACAATGGAACCTCTCATTATTCTGAAGAGATGGCAAATTCAGAAAGTCCTTGTCATGGAGTGTAGCTCGGCTCGCTCAGTCTCTTTTCAGTCCCTCCTGCGCTGGAAAGTGCCACATCCCAGGCCCTGGTGGGCCACAGGCATGAGCTCCCAGGCTCCCAGGTGTTTTTGGGGGTTTCAGTCCAGAGCAGGGACGATCATCCCTCACTTTGCTCTCAGGTCTAGTTTTAAAGGTGCAAAACTTATTTCTGGGCTAAATAGATGAATAGGGATACAATTCAGCATCATAAAGTCACTCAGGACATTAGTCAACCTAGGACAGCTACTTATTATATGACTTTTATGTGCTTACCATTATCAACTCGTAAATAACTTCATTTACTTTCATGTTTCAGTTGATATATGCATTCTTAATACAGAACAGCCTGGAAAAATTTGTTATTTGTATCTCTGGTCAGGCTTTGGTAAGCAAATGGTGTATTTTCTTTTCTCCCAAGTCTTTTAAGCAGAGTTTGTAGTTACAAAACAAAAACAAAAACAAAAACAAACAAACAAAACAAACAAACAAACAAACAAAAACCAAACCAGAAGCAAAGAGTTTAGACTGCTAAATCCAAATTTGATATATATTTATGTAGGGACGATGACTTCTTGACTAGAAACACACTCTGTGTGAGGTTTATGTAAAATAAACAGAGAACTGTCCAGCCTGAGTCATAACCACAGCAACTATAGTCCTTTTTTATTATCTAAAAGCAAATCTACAGCAAAGGCAGGCATAGCAAGGAATTAGGTGATATCTTGATACATATTACTTATGTAAATGTTGGGCTGCTCTTCAAATGTAGTGCCATCAAACATACAATGCCATAGCAAGGAGCAGTCTTGGATAGAGGTTTGGTTTCTTACTTCTGTGCCTCACTCTGTACACCAGAAATATATGTCTTTTAATAATCTTAGACATCTTAGTCTGTTCCAGACTGCATTTTTATTTATGAACTGCACTTAACAGCCTCACAATTTTCTGCAAAATACAGGAGAAAAGATAGGCTGGAGAGATTTTCTAAGCACCATGGCTGAATCTTGAGGAAGGGAAAGCTACTTTTTCATTCCGCTAATCTTCTGCCTTTGTGTCAAGTTAACCCACAGGTTATATGGCAACCCTCAGTTAGATAAAGTTACATCAATGATCAATGATTACAAAGCTGTATCTATGAGTCCAACTTAATTCATTTTCCTGTTACATGTTTTCAGTTGATTTGGAGTTGAAGGACTGGGTAATTCCCATGCCAGGCAGAGATTTTTGTGAAGTCAACAGAAAGCACTTTTGGACCTGTGCTTTTGAAAGTTCCTGGTGTTGTATAGAAAGTGTCCAAAGTATAACATAGCAGTAATATTCTCCTGAATGCACAGATTGAAGGAGAAACTCAGCTTAGTATGAAACACTGAATCCCAGGATTGCAAGTTTGTATTTTAAATTGAGATGTATTCAATTCTGTTTACTCACTGACAATAATGTCAGAAGAATTACCAGAGTACTGTGTAGTATTTTACTCAGAAATGGCTTTTAATGCCAAACATCATGCTAATTTTTCACAGGAGTTGGGAAAATACGGTGTCCTGTTTTATAATGCTTGTTTCATGGTGATTCCAACAGTTATTATTAGCTTTTCTACTGGGGACTTTCAGCAGGTAAGTAGCAATAATGTATATCTCAGACTGATAATGTTATTTTGTTCAGATTTCATTTAGGGAGTGGGAGGGGCTTTTTGTTTGTTTCTAAAGAGGTAATCCTACCTCTATGTTAGTGATTAGTGTTTGAAAATTGTGAGTTGGACTTGTCCTTCACAGGTAAGAACTTGTGATTGTTCACTTAAGGAGAAGCTGAGTTTGTGTGGTAGTCCTTTTTTGGCTCTTTGTCTATGAACTAACATATGTTCCCACCTAGAACAAATGGCTGAGAATCCAGCTGCACTGTAATTTGCCACATGGTCTAAAACAAGATTGCAACTATACAATTTCCAGTCTTTCTCTCATTCATGTCCAGGGCAGATTTCTGTTTAGTCTGAGTCTAGTTTTTTAACCTACATTTTGCATTCCTGTAGAATGAGAGCAAGACTCTCCCCAGGTAATCCTAATACAGTATCTGTAGGCAGTATGTCCTGATACGTAAAGTATCAGAGCCAAAGGTTCTCCTGGCTGCCTCACAGACTTGCTGACTTGCCTTTTTTCATAATAGTGAAATGAGTCTAGTCACTCATATTCCTTTCTAGAAATGTTTTACATTTGCCATGGAAAATTCTTTGGAGGGTGTAATCAATCATTATAGTGTTCTTTGTTTTATGTTGTTGTGCCCTGAACTCACATGATTTTGTCATTGTGCTCACAGAATTCTGCTTTAAGCAGAAAAATTATGATTCCCTGAAAGTGCTGGAATTAGATCTTCTGTAAATGTGAAATTTCTTAATTTCATCAGTCCAGCACAACCTTGTACTAGTTTAGGAAAATGCTGCTACTGCCTATCTTGGAAAAGGGGCCCAAGTTTGTATAGCTGTAAGATTTCAACTGGTTTTCCAGCACACAGAGTTGGAGACATTTTGGGAGACTTGGTCAGAGAAGTTTACCTTGTTGCTAGGTTTACTACAGGGGAAAATAAGGAGTGCCCACTAGCTGATTTTCTGCAAACAACTTAATGCTCAATTACCAGAAGAGAATAAATATCTATTAGAGAAATACATTGTGCTTACTGTGCATTGCATTGGTTTAATGCAATAATAGAAGTCTTAATAATAGAAGTCCTATTAAATTTTTATTATTAAATTGTGCAGATAACTAGTGTCAGTGTGACACACAGAAACCAAATCACAGAGAAAAAAGAGAAAATGGAAAAATACCAGTGACAAATCAGCAAATGATTGTAGATTAGCCTTGTACTTAGCAGATTATCAGGCCAGTTTTTATCATGGCAGAGCTTCCTGCCTTGACCCATCACAGCATGCATCTTTTGCTGTGAAGTCTAAACATCAGTACCATTTCTGTATGATAGGGAAATGCTTCTACTCCCCTAGCTACTTTTGTAATCTTGCAGAGATTGCAGTTTGTGAGTGAATGTCTGAGTTACTCCCTTCTCTTCCCCAGCTGGGTAACTGTGAGGGAAGGAAAGCATGATGCAATATAAGAGGAAGGAAGCCCCAGAATGGCTCTCTGTTATACTCTGCAGCTTGTGGTTGCACAACAGCAAAATTCTAGCAGGGCAGACCTGCTCAAGATCCTTTTTACCTATTGCCTCACATGGCAGAGTCTCAGCTGGCTGCAGCTCAGCATGGACTAACAGCCTTTATTCTGTTTCTCAAAATGTGAATTCCCAGTGTTCAGCCTTAGCTGAATTTGGTGCTTATGCAGCAAGTGTAAACTAACCAGATTAATATGAGGCATATACAGGAGTTACTAGAGATGGGAAAGAAGAATCTGTGACATATTTCTTAGTGACAGTGTGCCACTGTGTGTTTGTTTGCTGCACTTCACTAGGGAGGATACTTAAAAGTGATTGAGCCTTTTCATTGACCTTCATTGTTGAGAGACCTTAGTAATGCTCAAAAGCTCAGGCTTGGGCCTTGAAAACTGCTCATAGAATTAATCTGTGGTGTGGAAGAGATTTAGAGGAAATATTTATGCTGCTGTTTTTGTCTGTCCCACATCAACACTATTTATTATGTGTTATTATTCACAGTGTTAGTATCTGTCAGTAAATACCAAAACAGTATTCTGTATTGAGTTTATGTTCATTGCTTACACAAGTGTGCACTTGTGTATCTGCACTGCGCTACATGTTACAAGTATGTGTCTAGGTATCATGGGTGCTGTCATCCTGTTGTTTCTCAAGTTAGATGCATTAAACTGTTTCTAAAAATAATATAAATGGTTCAAAGTTTTGGTATGAATTAAACATATTTTGTTAATTTACATATTTTCATATTATGTACATTTATATTCATATATATTCATATTAAGTACATGTGTTTACAGTTGATTATATTGCACATAATTCTTTCTCTCTCTTTTTTTTAATAGGCAACACATTTCCAGCATTGGACAAATTTTTTATTTGTCTTTCAATTTATTCTTTCCTGCTTGTTGGGGTAAGGACACAGGGGAATCAAGCAGGTTGTTTTCATGACAGTGTTTTAAATTGCAAATCTCAAATGTAAGACTCATTAATAAGTTATGTTAAAGTTCAAAGAAAATGTTTTTTCCCCCTCAGGGTTATGCCTTGACATTTAATTATTTCTAATGGTGTAAATAACTGTTCAGTGCTATCTGGATTTACTCACAGTACAGTGCTGAACAACATGGCATTTAGCTTTATATTTTCTGTACTGTCTCATCTGTCTTTCTCTTCCAATCATCTAATTTTTTGCAGTTAACAGCGTGTAAGTCCTTGAGTATAGGAACTGTTTCTGTATATTTGTTCTTTAAAGCAGCTGGAGAAGTGTGGGAGACTTAAAAGTAATGAAACAATGCCTTGTTCCTCTTGCAACTGCAGAGTCAAAGGAAGAATAAGTTGCATTCTGTTCTTTTCTTACACATCATAATCAAGGGGTTAAACTAAATACTGACATATAAACAGCACAGAGGAAAGGAATGTCTCTGCTGAGCTCAAGTAGCATATTTTAATGTATATTTTGAATGTTCTGTATGTGCACATCATTAACTTAAAATAGAGATTCACAGAAATTCTTTTATAAGGGTTTGAACAGGTGGGATTATAGATCCCAGAAAAATATTCATCCAGAAAATGCTGAACATCTTGAAGTATTGCTAAACTTTTTAGCTCCTTGGGAGGAACTTATAATTTTTTTTCCTTTGTTTAGGTTTCTCTTGATGTATTCTACTGTCCTGTGCAGTCATTACAATTCTGCACTCACAACAACAGTAGTCGGTGCCATAAAGGTGAGTTATGGACCAGAAAAGGGAAATAAAAATGCTCAAATAGACAGGAAAGAGCATTGGCTCAGCAGTGATCTTGATTCTACTTTGAGATGGAAACTCAAAATGAGGGCTAATATTAAGACACTGCTTGTGCCAAACAAGTACACCACAAAGTGACCCTTTCTCTTGCATTGAAAGTCAGGTATGCTCCAGAAAACATTGTTAGTATTGATCTATTTTTATTTCTCCTACAAGAGAAACCGGAACAATTTTAATTAAAACGTGTACATTTAGCCACATTTCATCAGGCACTATCCCCTGCCTCTGTAGTTTATTAAGTTATTGTGTGTTAGTCAAGATGCCTTGATGCAAATCCAGGTGAGCTGATCAGGACTAATCTGCTTTTACTTTGGGCTAAAAAAATTTCCTTTGCAGCTGATACATAGGGCTTTCATTGATACAGAATAATGACTAAGCTGAAGTACAGAATGTGCTTTATGGTTAAGTGCATCAGCCTCTGTTGAGAACTTGTCTTCTAGCCAAACGGACTGTTTAATTTTGGTTTGTATAAATTCTGGTCAATCTGATCAACACCAAAACATGTATGTCTCAAAAACTGAGCCCAGTGTCCTTACAGTCTGCTTTCTTTAGCCCACTTTAATTTAAAACCATGCATCTTGCTTTGTATTGATGAGGTCAGAATGTCTAGAAACACCCATGACTACCCATGTTTTTTTGAAGGCCAGTTTGGAGAGAAGCACAGTACTGTAAAGCTGAAAGAGCTTTAGTAAAAGTAAAACTTATGCAGGTGGGGAAAAACATTTTCAGAATTCAAACTAGGTTAGGCACAGGAATAACAGTGCTAAAAGTGCTCCCTTCTATGACTAAGGAAAACTACATTCACCATAACAAAATCTGAAAAAGTAGGGTGGTGCTTCTCTTTCTACATTCTTTCTTTTTTGAAAGCTGCAAGATTAATCTCGTAGTTTTCATTCTGTGGCCCTGAAACTGTCCTTTTAAATTTTATGTCTGCATTAAACCATTAAGTCAGGGAAAGTCTATTTATATTTTCTAAGCTATAATAGTCTTTGACACACACTGAGCAGCTTTAAAGTTGAGAAGCAGGTTATGAAGCAGAAGTCTCCAATAGAGACTGGTAGAGACAGATGTCATTGTCTAGACTGGCTGCTAAAACAATTGAAAACAGCCAAGTGTCGGTAAAATGATCACACACTTCTACATCTTTCCTTCTGTCTTTAGGGGACTATTTTTCCAAAACTTGATGTGGGTGGGTGAGACGTAGAATCTTTAAACTGTGCCTGTCTTGAACCTGTACCAAGTGATTTCAGTGCACATTTAGTTGGAAAAGTAAGCAGATAACCCTCTTAAGGTAATAATGAAGAACTTTAAGGCATCCTTTTTATGTTGGAGGACCAAAACCCACTTTTAAGAAATGGGATTTGAATTCCAAAGATCATAAAGAAATACATTTCAAAAGGTGGCCTTAGCTCCATTTTGCCCAATAGTTTTTTCCCCTAGAAGGAAGGGCACTGTGCATTGTATACATTAAGAAAACATACTGATTTTATTGTTTTTTTCATTGCTACATTATACATAAGGCTGACATCCCATGAAGTGAATTTAAAGGCTGATTTTAGAGTGGTCAGCAACTCTTACTACTGAAATAGTATAGCTATTTCCTTAGAAAAGTGAAATAGCTGATATTGCTTGTATTCATGGAGATGAAATCTGATGTAAATAAATGCATGACTTCTGTTTCCTTTCAGAATATATCCATTGCTTACATTGGAATGTTGATTGGTGGAGATTACATATTCTCCATGTTAAACTTTGTAGGGCTAAATATTTGGTAAGTGAAACTTGAATAGCCTTTATTTATTAAAGCTGAAAACTTCTCAGTGCGCTCTAGTTTTATGTTTTGTTTGATTGGACTAATTTGGGTGATACAGTTTTGAAACTACTGGGCTGAAGAAGAACTGCTTCCAGATGTAAAGTTCATTACAGTTAGTTTATGTCTGCTTTTAGATATTAAATCTTACTCTGGTAAGGCCTAATTGTGGAAATATGTCTGCAGTTTTGCTGTGTGGAATTGAGTTGCTTCTTTTTTTTTTTTGTTATGAGCAGCCGTTCTGAGCTGCAAGGCTTCCAAGTAAAAGCCAGGTGTGGTATGAGAAGTGAGAACCCTGACTGAATGAATTGTGCCTACTGAATATAAGTTCTAAATTGTGAGTTGTTACTTTCTGTGCTTAGATGCATTTGTGTGTATGAATGTTTGTGTGTACGAATCTGCCCGGGACTGCTTTCTCAGATGGATTACATAGCTCTGAGGCACTCCTAGGTTATGATAGCTGGTGTTCTTTAGCCCTTCAAAGGGAAAGGTATACAGCTATGAAATGACTTCTGTAACATCAGATATCTTTGACACCACTGTTCATTCTTTTTTCTTTAGTATGGCAGGAGGACTGAGATACTCATTTTTAACATTAAGAGGAGACAGCAAGCCTGCACAACCTGGGGATGAAGAGAATACACTTCCAGTGTCAAAGAGTTAGACAAAACGCCTGCCTTGATAGAGACTGAAGATGCAAGTTTGTTTAACATTGCCAAGACCTTAAACAAGTATATGCTGGAACATATTTGGAATATCAAAAAAAAAAAAAATCTACCTCAGTTGTCACAGACACGCACACAATTCACTGGCTCAGACATATTCTTGCACACCATGTTTTTTACATGTAAACTAGTTGGACTTTGGCTTTTTTTTTAATTCTGCAAGTCATTTGATAGGAGGGAATTCTATGAGAAAATTTCAAGTTGTAAACTTCTGCCTGTACTTGGGTGCTATTTCAATAAGATATTTGAGCTCTGTTTCAGTGACTGCCAGTAGTTTCTTGAAGCAAAACCTCCTGTAAAGATCATGAGGCTTGATTCACCATTGCCTTATGCCATATGCAATCTTTAATATCAACGAGGAGATGAAAGATCCTAGTGGTTCATGTTGATTTGTATTTGCTCTTGAGTAAGTGATATAGAACATATGGGGCAAAGAGGATATTCGCCTGCAGATTGCTCCCTGTGTGTCAATTAAAAAATTCAGGCAATGTCCATGTGTGTAAATTGTGTAGGCATTCTCTTTTTGTGTTTCTCTCATCCTCAATCACACCATGGTGTTATGCAGCAGTCGTCACTGTTATTATAAATGAGCCCTCATAACTTTGCAGCAGGTGAAGGAGAGTAGGGAAATGACAGGGGATTTTTTACTATTTAAATATTTTTTTGTGTGTGTCTGTGAGCCAGTACCAACAGATCTGTTTTTGTTAAGGTACATTTTTCTTTTTATACACGGTCCCCTCCTCTCACATTTTGTCTGTAACCACCTTGCTGCAGAGAAGTGGTTGTGAAGCTGTGTGAAGCTAGCATGTGAAGCTGCTAGTTTATGTCTATGTGTTACTATGTGCTACTATGAACAAACATAGTAGGGAAGGGAAACAGATATGTGAAAGACTGACTTGTGTTTAAATAAGGAGAAATGGCTAGTGTCCTGTTGTGTCTCATATATGAGATCAGTAAAAGCTTATCTCATACTAGTTTATGCTTTTGATTCTATGCAAGGAATCATAATGAGCCTGGGGATTACTACAGTAGGCTCAGCTGGTACAGGGGTTAAGGGGCCCAGACTGATGGTCTGAGTTATCATCTGGGACAATAGCACCCATATCTATATTTCAATAACACCTATATCTATATTTCCTTCTCTGAAAATACTTGATAATGTTTACCTGTATCTGAGGATAAAGTGTTCACCTTTGAAAACATTATAGGAGCATTGAAGTGTTGGAAGACAGCAGAGAAATTAATCTTGTTGAAGTTCTCAATTCCCTGCAAGCATGAACCAAGATTTTTGAAAATAATCAAATTGGAAGATTTTGGAAGGCTTTGGCACGGAACCAGAGTGATCTAATGACATATTTGATCCCCACTTAAATTAAAATACAGCTAAGAAAATCTGAAAAGCACTACTCTGTGTGTAGCACATCAATTACCAGTCTGAATTAGATCTGCGAAACATATGTGTAACTAATACCAGAACCTTCAGGAAGTCACTGCCCACATGGATTTGAATGGCAAGAGAAGCAGTGACTGCTGATACTAGAAGTGGCATTTAAAGGCACAGTCAAACTGAGAAAATAAATCTGAGCTATCCATTTTCTCACAGCTGGATAAGAATATGATCTTCATTTCTATCTGCCGAAGACCTTTGAAGGGAAAGCGTTGCTGCAAATATTTTTCAGTGATCTGTTTTTAAAGATTTCCTTTATGCTTAAAAAACTTCAATATTTTTGAGTGTATTCTTTTATAATGCTCCTCTTTCTTCAGATCATCTCTACCTCCACAATTCCAATTACTGAACCTTAACTCTTTGACATGAGACAAGGTATTGGAAGGTTTTCATTAATTATGAAATTAGTATGAGTGCCATTTGATTACAATACTGATGAACACACAGAGGCACCTGCTACAAGATGTAGTTTCCACAAAGGAACACCTAACATATGCATATAATTCATTAATATTTTTCTGTACCTTTTATAAATAAAAATATTACAGTTTTAATAGGTGTTTTGTTTATTTGTTTGTTTTTTTTGTGGATGGACACATATAATAGTCCCAAACACATGAACAACACAAATATTTGCTTTTTATATGATTAACTGCTATAATGTACTTAAAGCAGTTTCTTTAGTTCATTCTGTACCATAGTGAAGGTATTTTATTTCTTGTTCATAGAATGTTCTTGAAGTGCTTCAGACTTAGATTTCTCACCTGAAATAAAGACCTCATAAGCATGACAATGTTAGTCAGAATAATTAAAAAAATAAATCTAGGAATAACAAGAAATGGGTACTATCTAGAAGTACTTGCAAGTGCTTGCATAGTTTCACAAAGAAACTCAACTTCAGTCACTTACTATTTTCCTCTGTATCTGAGATACTGTTGATTCCAGTAAATTTGCTGATTAAAATTCTGGAAATATAGGCTCAACCAGGCACAACTATCATGTTAGAATTAAGGAAATTTCATTGCTGTTTCATCCAGAACATCAATAATTGTGTCTTTCAGTTAATAATGTAGGGATTTAAAACTGATTTTTTTGGGGATACAATTGCTTACTTTTCTACAGATTTTATATTAATGAGGTTTTAGATATGGCATTTGTACCATTACAGGTGCCAGGGTATATTTACAAGAAAACATATAAAGAAAAATTATTCCTGGACCAGAGAACAATATTGTCCTCTAAACTGATCTGTTCATGCTCTAAATTTTGTGGAGATTTTTTAGCAGTGACCAGGATGCAGTGAAGTGAGATTGAGAAAATGTGGTCACCCAAGGAACTTTCTACCCATTCACTGTGTAAAGTTCTCACAGTGACTCCTGTGGAAGTCAGAGAGGCCAAAAAACTTACCTCAGAAAAAAAACTTAGACTGGGTTCAATGAAGAATTCTTCACATTCTTAAAAATTTATTAATTTTCTTCTCATTATCTTGGCCTAGTTTACTCATATTGGGCCCATGAATCTCTGTAGATCTATCTGAGACTCATTACCAACCACAGAAAAAGAAAATGGAAATGGGACATGGAAGTCCAGAAGAGAAGACTGACAGCTGTGAAAGATTGTGTTTTGATTCCATCATCAAATAGAAGGGATTATTTTAAATTTTGGAGATGTTAACTTAAAAGAGGTATTCAGCATCATTTATACATGTGGGAAACAGTGAAACCTATTGAAATTTAAAGTATTTCTTGAGTAGTGATTCTTTGGATTATTCATGACTGTTTGTAAATACTTTTGTAAATGTAATATCCAAACCTTTTTTTTTTATTTATTTGACTTAGGAGGTAAACCCTGAGGGGAAAATTAAGACAGCTTTAGTGTGAGGAAACTGGGTTGTTGTTAAGCTAAGACAGTAATGGTTTTTTATCTTCTTGTTACAGATAACTAATGTTACCTTCCTTGTGATTCAGACATTGTCTTGTAAACCATCTGTAGATGGAAAACTGTTATTGTGAGTTTCTGTCTGAAGGGGTCAGTAATGTAACACAATAAATCTTTTTTTCTGGTTTCACTCTGAATTTGTCCCGGAAATGTCTGGGCTACAATTTAACCCTTCATTGCAAGAGTTAGTGTTGACTTCTCTTTGGGGTATTCTTTTTCAAAGTTTTGGTTTAGACACATCTCTGGTCTCTATGAATAGTGAACAATGACAATAAAATTAGTTTTTTGAGTTTTTGTAGTTTCCAGAAAAGGAGTGAAACCTTTCCCCTAAGACCAACATCAGGAATCATTGTTTAGTTTGGATTTTCTCAATAATTTACAAATGTTGGTGTAATGTGGTGATGTTATTCTAACCCAAATCCTGGACATTTCCTGGAAAAATGAAATCATTTTGACTTGATTAATCCTCTCACTTCTCTGCCAAGGCTCAGAGACTAACAGTGTGCTGGAAAGAGGCATTTTCCATGCAGAGAGTTTCTGATTCATACAAGCTCATTACCTTCACTCATCATGGAAGTGTTCCAGCATCAGCTTCTCAGTCTTGTTGGGGGTTTGATCTGTTTCTGTACTCTGGTAAAATGCATCAGATTTATGAAAAACCTCTTCCATATATATGGAGTTCTTTACCTTAGACTTTCTTTTGGTCAATGGGAGGGAGAATGGTCAGGTAAAGGAAACTATTTCACCTTCTACTTGTAATCTGCTTGGGTGGTGGATTGTTACATGACTGATCAGGAATGGTTTTCCTTGCATTTCTTGACCTTGTTCATTCAGAATGAAATATAGTTTCATTTAATTTCATTATTCAAATATGTGTGGTTTGCTTGGTCCTTTTTCTTTTCTCCTAAAGCTTTGGGTTTATGAACCTGAAGGCTTTGTGTACTTGGAGAGAATAGAAAACTAGTTAGATTGGTAACAGCTCACTGGTAACAGCTACCCTGGTGTGTAGACATGAATTCTTTCCCTGTTGCTGCTTCTGATGTTTTCTCTCTGCCGGAAATGCTTTTACTTTAATAGCATTGCCCAGATCCCTAGTTTTCTGGTGTGTAAAGCTGCTGGTTTATGTCTTGCATATGTTCTCCAGTTTTCAAAGCAACTTTTCTTGTTCCTGTTGATGTTGTTCCAGTGTGTTCTTTTCTAAATTGCTGACCTATTCTTAGTGATAACATTAATGAACTAAATTTACTTTCGTCTAAAATCTTCAAAGGCTGCAAACTGGCAGTGCTTTTTTAAGATGTGTAAAATAACACAAAGCTTAACAAGGACCTTTTTCTTCCTGTTGATCATTGATGTTTTTCTTAAGCTTGTTAGATGATCAGTATAAAGTAGGAATGAACAGGTGCTTCTGTTCCTGAGTACCTTGGCTGCCAATATTGCTGATGGCAGCTTGTTGTTAAGCAAGTAAATGAACAGTAGACTTATGCTTGATTCCTTCTTCCTGCATTAGACTTGATCAGACTAAATATATAAAACTACTAAATACATAAAATACATCAATTAAATATATTATAAACTACCAAATAGATATTTAATTGTTTATTAATTAATTAATGTTTAATCTCATAGTGGATTAATAAATTAATTTCGTTCCTGTGTAGAAGACCTGCCTGAATACCAGATACTTCTAAGGCAGTGCATAGGTCTCACTTTGATTTAAGTGAGGCAAGGACCCCCTTCTGTGTATGAGATGAGGAACAGCATGAGGAACTTTCTGTGTAAAATCTTTCTTTACACTTAGGTTGGAGGACTTGTTTCCTTGAATGGACCTTTATGCTGAGTTTTTATAAACAAAGTCTTCTGGCCCCAGTAAAATTCATAAGGCTCAGATAATTTGTGGTGTCATGTGGCGCATGAGATTCTGAAAATCATGAAAATTAAAGGTGGCATGTGGAAGCTTGTTTCTCAACAGACTCTTTGCTTTTCATCTACAGGTCTGTTAGGAAACTAATCCACTACTTCTTCATTGGGTTCTCATTTCCCCATTAAATGAGAGAGTAATTGAACTTCTGTTGGCATCAGAACCTAACCATTCAAGAGCACCTTGTTTTCTGTGTCTCTGGCAACACAGAAGTCCTTAATCCACATTATTTTTATTGACTAATTTTTCACTTGCTCTAAAACTTACCAGGTTTCCCTTGGAACTGCTTTGGTGCTTTGCTACTTTATTTCTTCTGTATTTCTAAAGCATTAAAAATTTTTCTTTCTGTAGTTCCTCTTTGTTATTTATATGCAGGGTGTTTAAAGTTCAGGGTATTTTACAAATGCCAGCTCTTTTTATTTTTCACAGTAAGACTAAATCCAAAAGTAAACTGTGTAGTACAGCTCTGAAGGAATAGCGTTTTATAGATGGTGGCAAGTTTGATGTGATCTTTCGTTACAGACAGAAATCTTGTGTGGGAAATCATTGTATCAGTTTCAGTTACCAGTTACTTTATCTCCCACCATTCTTCCACCAGCATATAAATTCAAAGGTTGCAAGACAGAACTTGTGAAGATACATATGGAGAAGAAAATTCTGCCAGCTCTTTGGCAATTAACTTGTTGCTTGTTGATGCCACTGAAAATGAGAGTCGTAACTACCTCCTGTACCACATGGACTGCCTTGGCGAGAGATTTGAAGACAGAAAGTGCTGAATGAACTAAGAGATGCATAGGTCACAAGGAAAAAAATTAGAAGATTGATTCTGTTCTTCAGTGGAAACATTTAGGTTCTGTTCAAGAAATGCAGATGATGAAGATTAAACAATTCGGAGAGAGGAAGTTAACCAGAGCTCCAAATGTAATCACTATCCTTTTTGCTTTCTCCAGTGGTCACAGGAGCAGGAGATGGGATTGAAAAGCATATGCCTACAGGTAAAATAGATAACTGACCCTACATTTTATCTTAACAAAATGGCAATTGCTATCTCTTCATCAGTGTCTTCAAATTAGTAAAATTATTCTAGAATTCAAAGCTACTGTGACAAACATGGTCTTAATCTTTCTCTCCATTAATCTCTAGCATTAATCAGATTCTGAAAGGAAACCAGTGCTGCATTTCAGAGGAAAGTCATTCAGGCCTCAGTGGTCTCATCAAACCAGGGAACTAAAATGAGATATTCAAAAGAGGGCCTATTGTCTGTCAAGAGAAGGAAGTCTCCTAAATTGTCCCTTTTTTCCCCAGTTTCACAGCTAATCTGCAATGTGCTGGACCAGTATTAACACACAAAATGTAATTTTCTAGCCCTTACACTTGCAAGCACATTTTGAAAGTTTTATCTGAAATAATCAACAAGGGAGAAACTTGTATAAATTAATACCAAGAAATAGTTATGGAAAGTGTAAGGAATCTGAATGGTTCAATTCAGAATCAGGGGCTCTAGGAGGCTGCAGGAGGAAGACGATGTCTGTGCTGTCCCTGTAGCTGCTGCAGTGCAGAGTCACTGCAGCAGTACCTTCCTATTCACCCATGGTAGTCAGCACTGAGGACAGGCTGGCCTTGTACTGTGTGGTACCAGCCTTGTTATTACTGATTGTGACTGAGCAGTACATTTTCTCCTTGGTGTCTTTTTCTAAACTGTCTCCCTTTCTAGAAGCTAAATAGCAATGACTCATGAGTTGCTGTCTTCAGGGCTGAAGTGACCAGGTGACAAAGAATGCCCTGTAACATTGTGAGAGTTTAGATGTGATGCCTTCTGCTTATAGATTATAAAATATATTTCACAGGAAAAAAAAATTAAATTGATTTACAGGATTTTTGCACTAGTCTCTTCATTATGCATTGTTTAAAAACCTACATACCTTATGACTTCCATTACTGGGAATAGAAATACAATAACTACTTTTGAAAGAACAATGAATATAGGAAGCTCAAAGACCAATACCAACTGGTAGGGTTTGACATTTGGCATAGATGTGGAAAAAAACCCCATGGCAGAGAAGGGAAAATGCTGCCTTCAGTCTCCTCACTGAGTTGCAGTATTAATAAATAAATAGGAAGGTTCTGATGAATACATAGGTTAGGGGGATTGGGACAGGATCAATACAGGGAGAGCAGGCATAAAAAACACCTAAACATTATTATCATGTCTCTGGGTGAAGTCTTCTCTTTATTCAGGTTGCTGAATTAATTTTCTGTATGGGCACCTGGTGGTATTTTATCCATGTGAAGGCTGCAAGAACCTGTGAATGTCTAGATTGGAGCCTTTGTCATTGCTCTGCTTTGTTTGTGCTGTATGGGTTATGTAAGAGTAAATGCCATTAAATGGCCAGCTATATAACATGTGAATGGCTGCATTATACCATAAGAAAGAGTAAAGCCACTGCTCTCTTTTATTTTAAACTTGGCTGGAGCTGGATAGATTTTGTGGAGCATTTGTTCATTATTTTTGGAATTTGTGGGATGACTGAGGGTCATCCTTCTCCATGCTGAGATGTACCATCCCCTCCAGGTGGTCTCTTTGATTGAAGCTGTGCTCAGCTACCGCTCTGTGGGACAGATCCCAAGCCCACACCACATGAGCTCATAGCTTGGCACACCATCTTGCTGGCTGAAGTAGAAGCACGCACTTGTGTGTGGCTTGTGGATAAATAAATCTGACCCTGCTGTTTTAATATTTGTGTGCCTTCAGAGTTTCTGGCTCAGCACTGCTGTCTTTCTGCTCTGATGTCAGGGTGCAAACTTCTCTGATGCTCTTATGGTGTAGGCTCCTCTGGTGTTATGTGCTGATGTGAAGGCAAGCCTTGTTTGATGGGCACAGTCTTGTGCATTAGTTCTGACGTCAAGTGATGAATTTCTTTTTGATGCCCTGAGCTCATGCATGGGCTGATAATGAGTCACAACTAATTTAAGGACTCCACACTTGTTAGCATACACTACAGGATTCTAAGGAGAGCAGGTTTTGTGTTTTGGAAGGCTAATTTGGAAGGTTAATTTGGAAGGAATGTGGTTTCCTGTGTTCAGTTTTATGTGGAATTCCCAGTAGGAGGTTCATTGGGTAAAACCCAGCAGACTGAGATCCAGAGAGAGATTACAATAGCTAGAGATTCGGTACTCTTGTTTCCAAGGTTTATGCCTAGATGCAGGACTCTGCCAAGTTTCTTAAGCTCAAAAGCTGCCTGGGGCTGCATGAAGAACCTGGCAACTGTGAGGTCTCAGAACACTATTTTGTTGATGCCAGGACATAGTTTGACAAGCTTGTATTGAGAGGCAAGCACGCACAGAACTTGACCTTATCCTTTTCTGAATGAATATCCAGGCTTTCCTGAAGGCTCTACATGTATTTTGAGTAGAGTAGTTATTTTGAATGACTGACCTTCTTGAGGATGAAAACCCTGACTTTTTAACTGACTGTTGTGATGTCAGAGTACTGGAATTTTGGATGTAGTTTGCTATGTATACTTGAAGACCCAGGCTTCTGTTACACTTGGTCCATGAGTTCTTGGGCTGATAGGGTTTAAACTCACCAGACTTACAAGAAGAAATAAAAGCAAGTCATCTTTGAATGCGCTGCTAGTCTGTCACATCTCCACTCAGAGATTAGCATTTTAGGTACTGATGTATGCTTATTTGTTCTGCTGTTATTGTATAGTAACTACAGATGTAGTTATCATCTGTAACTGGCATAGCTCCTCAGACATACTGGGTTTATGGACAAGGCCGTGGCATACTCTGAGATTTATGGTTTGGCCTCTTCGCAATTCTCATGTGATGTCAGGACACTAGCAGGGTATGTTTTGTCTCACATGGACACCATTCTTACTTCTTACTGTTAATAGTTAATAGTTCATCACTCTTTTGTAAGTCAGGCCAGTGCTTGTGTTCACTAAGTGTTTCAGCAGACTATTTTGGGACAGGTTTCATCCATTTGAGATCCGTTTATTTCCTAATTTAACTGCTCCTTGAATCTTAAATATTTGTTTCTTGTCCTGAAATTCTGTGTAGAATTACCAGCAGTATAAATACTACCTATTAAATATGATCTGTTTTTTCCTGCTCTGGTTGCAAAGTATTATATTTTCTCCACTTGATCTTGGATTTATTCTTGAAAATACTGCTATTCTCTTTGCATTGCACAGAGCATGCAGAGCTGGCAGAAAAATTGCAAGATCATCCTGCCCTGTCATCTCAGTTCTGGTCTGCTGGATTGAAATATTTGAATCATACTTAGAATGAGTGAGTCTTTGATTCATAAGAACCATGCAGTTCTGAATCCCAGCTAAAGAAAGACAAAAGGTGACACACAGATCTTATCAGCACAGTCCTAGAGAAGAGAAAATAATCTCTTTCCTAGGAAGTAGAAAATTACTGTCGGCAACTCTATGTTCCACAAATCATTATTAAGGATTTTAAATTATTACATCTGATGACCCATGTAGAATATAACAAATTAGTCAAGGTAAATGTAGCAGTCACATGCATGCATAAATGCTTAATTGTCATGATTTGTTATGGCTGGAGTTGGTAATAATGATCTTATATTTAGGCAGACTGAGTCTCAGGAGCATTTTAGTCCTTTGCCACTGGGAGTCAGGATTTCCTAATATATGCAGCTCCCCATTACACAATGCTGGGAGCCAGTGCTTTTTCTTTACTGTGAAGGGAAACACCATTCTTTAATGTCAAAGCCTTTGTATATTAGGAGAATTCTTTGTGCTAAAGACATCAACACTGAAAGTTACCATAGTTTGAAATATTAGGCTAGATTTAACCTTTCCTGTGGGTGGCCAGGGAATTCTAAGCACAATTATTTTTGTTTGCTTGAGGGTCTGTTTGTATCTCATGATAATTGCAATGTCCTACAAAACCTGTTTCTGGAAAGGATGCACATTTTCTGTGTGGGTGAGGAAGCAAAAGATACTAGTCAGGGGTATGACCTCTTTTGCCTTGAGAAATGCCTTATACTTCTGGTCAGTCTGGTGCACAGCAGCAAGAGATGTTCCTCTCAACTGTTAGGCAACACTTTTATAAAGTTGCCCTAAACATGTGCATTTAGGTGAAATACAATTCAACTTTATCGGTAAGAATCCTTTTATAGTTAGGTTTTAGGAGAGGGCTTTCTATCAAAAGAAACACAGACTCTAAGCTGATAAGATACAAAGAAGCCCAGTGAACTTTCTTTTATTTTGTGTATTACATGGCTGGTAATTGGTCTTGTGTCTGAGGATGCAAAAATTAAAACAATCCCTATCCAAACAACCCCAGATGAAAGGAGCAAGTGACCCTGGAAACAGAGACCTTATCTCTGACTGAAAATGTATTGAGTCAAACTCCTTACAGACAAAGGAAAATCTACCAATATGTACACAATTATAATTCTCTACCTGAGAGCTTCAAGTGGAGTGCTTAAAGCAGACTTTTGAAATCCCAAAGCACCCAAGTCTGTGCAGATGTCTTTGGAGACTTGATAAATTATGGTAAAGGATTTCCACAACACAGAATTGTGAGAAAGGCTGAAAATGTAAATGGTTGTGGCTGATGCCTTTCACAGGGGGTCATCCCCTTGTACTCTTGATGGAGAAAATTTTTGAACAGAGGTTCTTATTTCTTAACATTCTCTGCATTGTTTCATGAGAACCCAACAGGACAAACTGTTTCATCAAATAATTTTGTTGCAGGGAGTCAGCTAAAGAAATGAATGGAACTTCAGTGGGTGGCCTTTGGCAGTTATTTCTTTTTCTAAGCAAAGCTGAAGGTTCTTTCAGATAATATGAGCTTTATATTTTATGTTGGCTAATTTAGCTCTCTTTCCTCCTTTCTCTCACAGGCATTTTTCTAGTTTTCGTTTTATCTTTCTTTCTACACTCAGCTCATCTGACACGTGTTAATAACTTCATTTCAAGTTATGGGGCCATGATCCTTTCCCTGACTTTGCCTAAAAATCTGATG